TAAGGAGGTTGTTCTTGATATGCCCAGGGGTCTGATTGTTCTCCGTAGAAAGGGGGTTGGTACTGGAACCCGAATCCATAGTCTTCTCCTCCTTGATTGCTCCAGGAAGTCTCGGGGTAATACCACTCGGACGGTGGTGGATACCCCCAATGGTTGGAGAAGCCATGAGGATCCATGATTCAGATCTGCACCAACAAAAACAAAAACACCCAAGTGAAAAGCAAGGGTGGAAAAGAAAAGAAAAACGCTAAAGTAACAAACTTCTGCCTTTCCTAATAATCTAGAAAGTCCCCGGCAACGGCGCCAAAAACTTGACACGCTAAAACACAACACCTAACAATGTCCAAGTGTAACCAATGAAAGGGACTGCAGTATAGTGGCACAAGTAATAAATATCGAATCCACGGGTCTCTAGAGTTACTATTACTCAGCTTCAGTTCATTATCTAGCAAACTAGATTAAGGATTGATTTACTAAACTACTCTACTAACTACTCTACTAATTACAAGTTGGGAACTCACTTAGGTATGATTCCCCCTAGCTCCTCAATTAGATCCAAGTTGCAATTACCTTTGGTTGATCTACTGTTGATTAGACTGCGGAAGATCCTAAATTAGCTTGGAATCTCTTAAACTGACCAAGCCCTCTCAGACAGAATACCCGGCAGGCGACTAGCCTTCACCGGGATAGACTGCTAAGGCGATTCACACAGATCTCCACTACTGGAATGAATTCCAGTACAAAGCAGTGAATTGATTGACTCTCGCACAACCAATTCACTACTATCAATCAAGGAAGCTCTCTTAACCTAATTAGATTTTATCTATCATAGGTTAAAGCAGAAATCAAGAGAATTTGATCAAGATCCAATTGACTCAATAAATCATGCCTCAATCGATTATAATCAAACAATAAAGCATCCAAAACTTCATACAAGAAAGATCCTAACTCATGGAACTAGGGTTCCTCAAAACCTAAGTGAAGGGAAGTTACTCCATAGAGAAGAGAGAGACTGCAGAAATCTGATCTAGATCTTCAATCTCCATCTCCAAGCTTGATTCCCGAGCTTCAATGGCGAAGAAATCCTCCAAAATAGCTCCAAGAATGTCTCCAAGTTGCTCTCTCTCTCTAGGGTTCGTCCCTTGGGTGTTTGGGATCCAAAACCCAGCTCTCCTCCCTTCCTTTCGCTGAAAATCGGGTTTTAAACAACAATTCCCGACTCGCACGGCCAGGGTGCACGGCCATGCACATCACCATTCTGGCCGTGCACCTCAAAACGCGCCGTTTCATTAAGTCGAACCTCAACCAACTCGCACGGCCAGGATTGCACCTTGCACGGCCGTGCGGATTTCACTTGTGCCCGTGCGTGCCCACGCACCAACCCGCACGGCCAAAATTGTATGTTGCACGGCCGTGCGTGGCCACGCACAATCCCGTGCGTGCCCACGCACAATCCCGCACGGCCAAACTGGTCACTTGCACGGCCGTGCGTGCCCACGCACAATCCCGCACGGCCATAATTATATGTTGCACGGCCGTGCGCCTCCCTGGTCTGCCCGTGCAGCTTGCTCAGCCTCTGTTTAATGCTTCGTTTCTCCCTCGTCCGGACTCCGAATCAGTCGCCGTTTGATCCCAGACGCTCGTAGTCTCGTCCTCTTTCGTTTCATAACAAGCTTGCATGATTCTCTGTCCATAAAGTGAGGTAGAAATCCATTCTTCTTCAGGTCATGCCCGAGTGTCTTCTCCCAAATCGTCAATTGATCTCTGATTGACTTGAAACTTGCGCCTATGCTTCACTTTATGTGCTAGGACCTGAAATGTGACAAAGGAATACAACCTAGCGTAAAATCGGTCAAAGACACGGTAATTCAAGCTCAAACAATCAAGAAACAAAAGGGGAAAACATGTGCAAATACCGAGTCATCATTATCCGATTGTAGTTAAAAAAAATTTTGATTCCGTATAATATTTTGACATCTTTCAAGCCGCAAACAACGAGAGGCAATTTGGTCCAGCATTCGTCCCAAAAAACGTCGTTTGCTATCCCAAACGAGCAATTTTTAGATTTCGCCAAACTTTGGACTGTCATAGCTTTGTGCTCCGAAACCCGAACATTATAATATTTTTATTTCACATAATTTTTTGTATACTACAAATTTTATCATGGACGTATTTTCCGAATGTATGTGAATTTGTGAAAAGTAAAGCTAAAGTTATTCCAAAAACCTCTTATATCCAAAAATATTCATATTTTGAAAATTCCTTCCTATTAAAAGTTGTAGCTTTGAAAAGTTATGCGAAATAAAAAAAATGTGACATTTGGATTGCAAAGCACAAAGTTATGACCTTCTAAAGTTTGGCGAAATTTAAAAATTGCTCATTCGGGATAGCAAACGACGTTTTTTAGGATGAAGGCTAGACCAAATTGCCTCTCTGTTCGAGAATTGAAAGATCTCAAAAAATTATGCAATAAAAAAATTGCTACGATCTCATAACCGAGCGCAAAGTTACGTTGTTCGACCACTTCCGACAGCCAGCATTCACCGCGGTTATAGCCGCCGTGATGTTATTCACTGCGTTTGACGGCCGCAATGAAATCCAAACATGTGTAGATTGAGAAAATATTTTACAACATATATATTTTGAGAATCTTTTTTAATAACGTATGTATTTTGGAAGTTTTCAGGATTTTTCAGTTAAAATCCACAGTTTTACTTTCTATCACATTCTACGCGGACAAAACTCAAAAGTAGACTCAAAGTGTTCTAGGCCATTGGTTGCTTTTACTTTGGGATGGCAACAAAACCCGAACTCATGGGTACCCATCCGACCTAACCCGGTCAACGCGGGTAAAACCCGTGTTGACGGGTTTTGGGCCGGGTTTGGGTTTAAACCCGCTACACTATTCACCGGGTCGGGTTGGGTTTGGGTTTAGATAAACCCGCCCCATTGGTACCCACTCACACACATATAATTACTTTCCCGGTATATTTAATATTCTAAATAATATATCTTCCTTAAACAACTAATATTCTTTATGTTTGTGCAGACATGTATTATTTTGTTCTTTCTAATTGTTAAGAATGAAGTTGATATTATGAAGTGGAGAGTGAAGAAACTTAGTTGATGAGGTAGAAGTTTTCAATTAATCTTATTGTTTCTAGATGTTTATCTTTAATTTTGAACAATTTGTATTGATCATTTGCGGTTTGCTTGTATGCTCTAGATTGGTATTTTTTGTATGAATAATTTGTATGAGAAAATTGTTGTTAAACTTTTATTTTGAAAGAAACTTGTTATTGTAAATTTTTTACCACAAAAACCCACGGGTACCCATGAACCCGCGGATACCTAGCGGGTTGGGTTTGAGTTTTTCAAACCCACCGTGTTTTACCCTGGATTTTTTTAGCTGATAAACCCATGGGTTTGAGTTTGGGTTTGACAAAACCCGCCCCAACTCGACCCATTATCATTCCTACTTCTCCCGGGCCTGGCTCAGCAAACAGACTCGATCTTCAACCAGCCTTCCTCCTCCTCCTACTCCTCGCTCTTCTGCAGCTCACCGGAGTGTGCCACCCTCGACGTCTCATCCTGCCGCTCCGGTCAGTGCTTCTACAGGACAATTACAGGAGACGGGAAATTGATGCCAGCGCAATGGGGGAATCGATTTAGGGTTTCGTCCACTGCTTTGATGGGGGAAGCACGACGAAGAAGAAGTATAGAGCGGATTCGCAGGTGGATCTTAGGGTTTCTTTGTCTGCTGCGATGGGGGAATTGAAGCCGGCGCGCGACGAAGAAGAAGTCGACTTCGACGAAGGATCTGGGACAAGGGGGTCAAGAGCGGGGTAGAGTGGCTGGCTCCATCTCTCTCTGCTCTCTGATGTGTTCTATCGAAAATGGTAGATGAAATTGAAGGAGCAGAGCTTCTGGAGGAAGGAGAAGGGTTTCGGGTCTGAAAATGCCACTAACCCGAATGATTTTCCAATTTTGTTTTGTTAACTGGATCGGCTTTGGTTTTGGGTCCGGCTGGGTTAATGGGTTGGGTTGGATTTAGTTACGTGGCGGGTTTAGTGACATGGCGGGTCGGGTTTGACCATATCTGGTCCAAAACAATGCTGACTAGGCGATTCTGTTAGCCATGTCAGCACATAACGGACTCTTTTAACGGAGTTGGACGGCAACTAACGGCAAGTGACGAATTGTGTCCTGTTTTAGTAATTATAGTGACAAAATCTGATATTAACTTTTTTTAGTGACTAAACATGTCCCGATTTAATAATTTCAGTGACCAAATGTGTCTTTAACCCCATTCTACGCGGACAAAACTCAAAAGTACACTCGAAGTGTTCTACGCGGATTAACACTCAAAGTGTTCAAAGGAAATATTTCATCCAAGGACTGGCTGAACTTTTGTGGCCCAATATTTACCAATTTGAGGTTAATTCATCCTTACGTGATGTATTAAATCTTGCTTTTAACTAAACACAATGACCCTTTTGTTCTTTTCACACACAAATGTACTCTCACCAAAATTGAAATCGGTAATCTTACATCTTAATAAGTAGTGTTAGATTAACATGTATAATAAAAGTTTAAAGCTCCTAATGTCAATATAGACAAGAGTGACGGCGATGTATGAGTAATTCATCTTAGGAAAGGAAACCATCGGCCCATAAAGTTTTCCCTTTGCTGCTGCAAATTGCAATGAATCACTAATCCGGTAAATCCCACCGCCCCCCACCGAGGCACCGACCATTAGTCACCTGCTTATCCTACGCTCCAATTAATCGCACCAATCGGGAAAAAACAAACACGAGCAAAGATCTAGAATCTAAATTACCATTACCTACTCCATTCTTTACAGTTTTACCATTACCACCATTTACATTACATATATGTCATTTATAGTTCTATGCAACCCCAGCAAGTTGCCCAATTAATGACTTCCTACACAACAGTCAAAAAATATCACTCATCATCTATGCTGTTTACATACAAACTTACAGGCTATTATGGTCAAGGAATTGGAGCGACCCAGAAGTTTGAACCAGCCTCAGAGACACAGACAGCAGATATATAACCAACAAACCTCCACCCAGAACCCCATCCAGCTTCATCCCTCTCCTGGGCAGAACCACCAGTCCCCAAACCAAACCAGCCAGCAGAAACCCCAACGTCTCGAGGAGGTACGGGTCCAGCGATATCGAAACCGGTTCCGGGTACGACTCCCAGCACGAACCGATCAGCGACAACCCAAGCCCGAACAGGACATTGAAGATCGGCCCCGCGTAGCACCCTGAAATCGCCACCTGCACGCCTTCCGCCCCACCGTTGATCGCCATGGTCGAGTTGGTTATGAGATCGGACAGCGAGTTCCCCCACGCCAGGACGGTCAGCCCCAAGATCGAAGGGCTGATCCCGAATACGTAACCCAGAGAGACCAGCAACGCGACCAGCTCCTGAGCCGTGATGTAGCTCCACGTCACGCTCATTAGGAACCCTCCTGCTAGCCAGGGCAGCAAGCATTTCTCCGGCGGGCTCGATTCTTCGGTCGTCAGAAAGGCCAACACCCCTAGACCGATTCCAATCAGCGACCCAACCCCGTAAACCAGAACACATGTTTCGAACCGGGGATTCTCGTACTGAGCCACCCAGAGCGTGGATAGCAGGATCGGAGCCAGGATTACCGACGCGATCGCCATTGGTTTCGACCATCGCCGTTCGCAAACAACCGGGATCGTCAGCCTGCGAGTCAGGTAGAGTGGCATCTCGACAATGCTGATCGTCAATCGAAAAGGGCCCGATTCCCTGAGGTTGAACCAGAACCTTCTCAACTCGGTCCGACCATCGGTTCCCTCTCGTTGTTCTTCTTCTTGTTGTTCTTGCGGCTGTCCTTCCTCCACGTCATCGTCCCTCTCCTTCTTCATCAATATAGGTATGCTCAACCCGCTCTCGCAGCTGGAGCTAGGCGTATCACTCCCACACCCGCCGCAGAGAATCACTCCACCGGGATCTTTAATCCCGTTGCTCCAGTATAAGTACGAGATGTAGACGATGATCACATAGACAACGTACATCAGCGAGAACCCAATTGCTCCCCAGAGGTTGATTTTCCCCAAAAGCATGGTCATGATCAGAGAGCCGAGAACCAGGATGAAGAAACAAACGTCTCTGATGAATGCGCCGCGGGAGACCCGAATCCGCCTGTGCTTGACCAGAAAGCTAATTGTTCCGACGACGACACAGGTAACGAAAGAAGCCCCACCTACCATGGTGTTGAACCCGATGTCGCGAGTACCAGATCCGGCCAGGGAGACGATGCTGGCGAAGACGTCCGGGGCGCCGTTCCCGAGGGAGAGGAGAGTGACGCCGGCGATTGTTGGGGAGAGCTTGAGCAAGCGGGAGAGGTCCTCGAGCGACGAGCAGAAGTAGTCGGAGGCGGTGTTGCCCAGGAGGTAGAAGAGGACTAGGAGCCAGAGGAGGAGCAGGGTGTGACCTAAAAGGGGCAATTCGCCGAAGTTGCAGTAGAATATGCGGAGGTAGTCGATGTAGCCTTGGGAGACGCATGGGTTTCTGGATTTGAGGGCGATGCACTTGGAATTTGGGGAAGGGAGACTCTGGAGTTCGTTGCAGTCTAGCTGGTGGTCGGCGGCGGAGGTGGGTTGTTGCAGAGCGTTGATGCCGGCGAGGGATTTCGGTGGTGGGTTGGACTTGAAGTGGGTTGTGAATGAAACGGCTGCGATTACTAATAGGAAGGAGAGGTTTATGAACAGTAGACATGATTTGCGTTGAGAGGAGGACAGAGAATAAGGAAAAGCCATTAAAACAGGGGAAGGGAATTACAAGGAGGGAAAATGGGGGAAATTAAGCAACGGTTGTTGTTGTTGTGGGGTGGTGGCTTGTTTGATCTGAAACGAAATCCCCGGGAAAATCTGAAGGGAACCCATACACAGGCGAGCTAATAGGAGCAGCTGAAGAACCGGCAGCCGTACCCACCATTTTTTTCCTGGTTTCTGGCTTCTTAAGAAACCAAAACCCAGAAACCCAGGGAAGAAGAAGAGAATGGGTTTCTCCTTATTGTTCGTAACCTTTTTTTGGCATTGAAAGCTCACGGAGAGAAGGTGATTGGGAAGGTAAAGGAGTTTGATCAGAGAGAAGAAGAAGAACAACAAATTCTTTCTGGCAGAGTAACAGAGTAAAGTTAGGAATGTCGATTAGGAAAGGCGACCAACTAGCTGCTGTGGGGAGGAGATGGGAATTGGGGGAGAAGAAAGAGGAAGGAGGAGGAATCGGCGGGGTTTATGGAATGTGGAAGCTAAGCAAAGAATCGAACAGTGAACAGTTTTAAAAAGGAAGGGAAAAGGATGACGGAGGAACGTGTTCAAATTAGCGGACGGGGTTAGCAGATAATTAGAGAGAGAGAGACAGCTAATTCTAAGGTTTTGGATAGAGTAATTAATTATTGATTTATTGTATATATTTACCGAGACGGTTTATTGGCTTTTTCTTTGTTGTGGAAAGGTACTTTACAATTTACATTGTGATTTTGTTTTACTTTCTCTTGTGTTTTATCAATATCTCTATTCCATTATTTAATTTTGGTTTAATACACTTGTATATCCAAAACTTTCACGGTTGTGCCAATAATATCCAAATTTACCGAAATAGCATTTATATCCATGTTTTAAAGTTATTTTTTGCCAAATCTATCCATTTTCCAATATATTTTTAGTTAAATACACTTGTATATCCAAAAACACCGTTAAAGAATGTGAAGGAATTGGATATAAGTGGTATTTCGAGAAAGTTAGATATTATTGGCACAACCGTGAAAGTTTTGGATATACAAGTGTATTTAACTTTTAATTTTTGCTGAAAGTTGCCGATTGGAACACACCAACACCATTCTCATCTTGTTATCATTTACGCCACACAAGTTCGTTGCTATTGGATGTTGAATAATAGTAGTCGTGGAACCAAATAGTGTTATCATCAAAGATCTAATATCATAGCAACCAAAAGATGAGTCATGAGTCTTAGTAATGTGAGCAACTTGATTTCCATAATTTGCTATCATTGTGTACTTGTATAGAATTAACAATGGGCAATGCTCTCATACACACAAGAAGCATACATTAGATCTTATCATCCCACTTTTGTGCCTCAATTATGTCGACTCGTGTTTGAGAATAACTTCATAAGATATCAAGTTTTTTGTTAGAAGTTCACGTAGTTAATTGTAATTAACAACTCTTTGTGTTAATTACATTGTAACCCTCGTGATTGGGGTTTATGGCATTGTATATATATCGGAGACATAGTATGATGTAACCTATGGATTCCAGGAGGAAAATATAATTAACTCTGAGAGGTTGTCCCTCTCAGTGGATTAGTCCTAATGTTGATAGTTGAAGATACCGTGTAAATTTTGTGGTCTTCCTTCTTTCTGTTAATATTTGTCATGGTATTAGAGCTTACTCTCGGATCTCAAGCTTGATTCTGCTAGTCTCTTGTGTTTATCGCATTATGTTTCGTCTGGCTTCCTGTAGTTGTTGTGGTTAGAGTTTTAGTAGATTGCTTACTAGGCTACAGGTTGTTTCTTTTTTTGTTCTTCTTAATTTTGCCAAGTTGTCGTTGTTGTGTTCATGGTTTTCTGTTGTTGGGATTCGTTAACATGAATCCATCAAAGATAGATGTTGTTTCAGTTTTGGTTTAATATGAAGAACTTCCCACTTTAGGAATTTCAATTTCGACTATTTGTCCAAGGTCGTCGTTTATTACCGATTCTAGATGGCCCCCTTTTAGAGTTGGTGGCGACTGCTTTGGCTAAGGAAAATGAAGATTGGGTAGCAAATAACACCTAGGTGGTCACATGGATTCTCTCGTATGCAAAACCCTCGATTGCACTAAGTTTGAAAGGTTTTTCAACTGCTCATGCTATGTGTTTTCATCTCATCGGCCTTCATTCCAAGATGCTTCTAGCAAGTTCAAACTAGAATAGGAGATAAATCGCTTCATCAAGGGGATTTTGATGTCAGTTCTACTATTAGGCAACGATTAGTCTATGGGCTAAACACCACTTACAACGGTTACATGTAAGCTACTTTGGCTTTATCAGCTTGTCGCTGAGCTTGGGGTGGAGTGTGAATCTCCCATGTGCTTGTATGCAAACAACACTAGTGTTATTCGCGTAGCGACTAAACCTATTCTCCCTAACCAGATAAAGCATATTGAGGTGCATGTTCATTCTATTTGTCAGTTGGTGGTCGAAGGGCAAGTTGCATTTTCATAGATTATTACTGAAGATCAAATTACATGCTTATTTACGAAGGTTGTTGCCACCTCTCATCATTGATTTTAGACATACAAATTAGTGTTGCGTAAACATCATATTTGAAGGTGTTAGAAGTTTATGTAGCTAATTGTAATTAACCTCTATTTGTGTACATTACATGTGTAACCTCTTGATATGGTATGCGACAATGTATGTATATTGAAGTCGTCAAATGATGCAACCTAAGGATTCCAGGGGTGAAATACAACTCACTATGAAAGGTTGTCCTTCTCCGTGGATAAGTCTCAAAGTCGAAAATTGAGCATCCAACGTAAACTCGTGTTCTTCCTTCTTTCAGTTAATATTTGTGAGGATTAACCTTTTTTTCTTTTTCACTCTATTGTTTGATGTTCATATGAGACCCCAAATGTTGTCTTCCTTGCGTTGGTCAAAGTAATATCCTTGGTTTCGAGACATGGGCGGAGCTAGAGGTAAATATAAGGGAGTTCCATGGCACCCCCTTAAATTTAGAGAAAAACACAAAATAAAAATTTTATTAATATGTTTAATAGTAAGTAAATCTTAAATTTCAATGTCAATCGTTAGACGTTGTATTGTTTTAGACCACAACAAACTATATAAATTAATTTCATATACTAATTTCCACATTTCAACATTCTAGTTTATCAAGATGAATAAGAAGTGCATACTATTAGAGGAAATCATAAAGACAATGCACTTCTTATCCCATCCTCCCCTGCTTTTAACTTGAGTGCAGTGGCTGATCCAGGGCTGGGCCAACCCAGGCCCCGACCCAGCCCTCCTCTAAATCCAGAGTTAGTTTAGTGCTTATAAAAATTTTTGATTTAGGTATTTGGCCCAGTGCTATTTAAAATTCTGTCTAGTTTTATTTTATAATAGAATTTTGTGTAACTATGAAAATGGTTCAGATAAACATATCCAAACCATTACTCTAAATTTATACTAAATTTTCTATAGCCCCAATGATTTTATTTGAAAAATGACATGAAAGCCTAAAAGTGTAAAGTTTCATTAAAATAAAATAAAAAACTATAAACTAAAGCACACCCTTCCTTGCAAAATTCAAAAAATTTCCCAATCCCCCCAAAACAAAACAAGAACGAGGAGACGAGCAGACCCAAAATGGATTTCTCTGCCATCCCGTCGAGCTGGTTTTCTTTCCATTCTTTTGATTAAGAAAATATTTACAAACTTGCTGAGTCATCATTTAGATTGCCTCAATTGAGTGGGCACTAGATTCTAGCCGTTCTTTCTGGAGTTTTGATGAAGAAAATATTTACAAACTTGCTCAAGAGTTTAGCCTCGAGACTTTGAAGGCTATGAGATGCATTCTTTGGGGAATGCACTACTCATGTGAGGAAGATGAAGTTTCTTCTCTTGCAAAATTATTAGAGAAGCTGGAGGAAACAGGGATGGACACATAATACAAATTGATTTGTCGGTTGATTTGTCTAGTGTTGACGTGTAGCCGTTTCAACAACTACCATGAAGAGAACATTTTCAGCAATGGAACATGAACATTGATTTGTGCAACAAAATGAGTGATGAATTTCTCGTTGATTATTTAGCTATTTTCTTTGAAAAAGAGTATATTATCAGTATGGATGGAGATTATATTATTGATGAATTTGCTAAATTAAAAGACCTTCTTGTACAATTGACGTTGTAATGAAAACTATATTATTATATATTTTTATTTATGATATCTAATATTCTATTCAAATACGGTCCAGTGCTCTCTTATGTCCTGGATCCGCTGCTGCTTGAGTGTTGGAATGGAGGGAGAAACCAGGATTCCCGTGCGTGGCAAGCGTTACTAGTCTATACGAGAGCATGGGTTGGTTGGTTGGGTGAAAAGATAATGCACCCCAGTCCCAGTAGTACGTAGATCATCTATTAAACGGCATTACTATGAAAGGTTTATTGGATTAAGGTTAAAGGAATTGATAATACGTGAAGTTGAACTGAATTTGTGAAGGGGAAGGAAGGAACGGCTATGTGGCAACTTGGGACGAGGTCGGTGTGGCTGTTGGCAGAGGGCAGAGGAAAACAGCAAATTGGTGAGGGGCAGGCGGCACTCTGAATGACCGCCACGAACGATAGTAGTAAGAATAAATAATGAAAGGTAACAAACAAAAGCACCCAAATTCAATTCAATTCAAGTAGATAGTTAACTCCTCCAAGTCTCCAACTCCACACGCCCGGCCGCCATCAATTCCCAGAGAAATGGATGGACGCGCTGCTCACACTGAGTCCCAATGGCTTTACGTATTTGGCAGTTTCTCCTCCCATTCTCCCCCCTTGCCTCTACTTCAATTTTATAATAATAGGGTAATATTATTTTTTTTTTTATCCAAAGCCTTCTCACATTTTTTTATATTTTTTTACTTCTAGATAAGACATTATTTTTCGGTTAGGCGTCGCAATGCTAGAGCTTCACTACTCAGTCTATTCGGAACCATTAGTAGAACTTCCAACTGGTGCGCTATTACTTAGTTTGTGCAG